GAAAGCGAGGAAAATAGAGATAGACACAGTACCATTATTTTTTTTAAATCCTTTGTAACCTTTGGTCGGTTCTCTAGTCATCTATAGTCAAAAACCTGTTATTTATGTACTAAATCAATATTTGTGTTCATACTTGCATAACAAATAGCTGTGCAAAATATACTTTGTATTTATCACCACCATTTGTTGGTAATTATTCTGTCTAAATGTTACTGATGTTATTGTAATTAATTTTATTGTTCTTGGTTTAAATTAGTTATACATAAACATTCGCCCACGATGCTCGCCTACACTGAATTTTGGCATTGCCTTCTGTACTATATTTCTATCTAGTAATAAAGTATTGAGCATTCCAACCTTTTGTATTGAAGTCAAATAATTTCATCAAACTAATTGTGTTTTTAGTTGATTAAAATTTTATTAATAATTCTAGGTAACAGACGTCCGAACTCAAACTAATTCACTCCTACTATTTCTGTCTCGTTATTTTGTAGTAAAACATTGTGATACTCTGGTACGAATAGTAATGAGATGTCATCATTAAATACTAGCCTTTTAGAGACACTCAGTGAAATTAAACAAGCTGTAGTTAGGTACTCGGTGTTTCTTGGTGCGAGAAATATCAGAATACGGAAATTCTATGCAGAACAGTCTCAGATAAAGCTTTTGAAATCTGTAAGGCAAAGGTAATGAGCGGGCAATAACTTAAAGTTTAATTTTTTTAAGTCATTGCCAGCAAACGAATAGACACATGGTTTGTTAGTAAGCAATCCGCGCCACCCATTAACACTCGCAACTAAAGGACTTAGGAATGCGTTGTCGGCCTCCTATAATTTTGAATTATAAGTTTCAAATCGCCAACACGCATTGAGCAAGCATGGTGATTAATGCTCTAAACCTTCTCTGTGTGAGAAGAGGCCTTTGCTCAGCAGTGGGCACTTATAGGCTGATGGGGATGTCGGCCTCCTATTAATTAAGGTTTCGGAGATTTAGGATTTGGGGAGTTGGGGAGGGATTGGCGGAAACGTAGCACAAGGAGGGAAGCTGATGATGGTAGTGAAACAGTTTGGTAACGCTTCAATGGACGGATATATTGTATTTTATTTAAAGCAAATCTGGATTCTAACATAAGAAGTTTATGATCCAGATTAACTAAACACACCACACGTGAGCCATACGTCATCTATCTAAACAGTTCCTACAAATCAGTAAAGAGCAGAAATTGCCCGATCCTCGGGAATTTATTCCTACAACAACGCGATCATTAGATACTAGAACAAACAGGACGTGATATCCTCAATTGTCACTTCCTACTTTACAAAATAAAGACTTTTGTCACACAATGTCAGTTAATTTGCTGCTACGTAGATTCTTTAATTTTCTTGTCATCTTTTGGTTTCTTTTGATTCAGAATTGACTGAGTGTTGACTATTATAACGACCACCGCGTAATGTGTCGTAGATTCGATCTACATACAGACCAATTTTTTTAAATGGTAACTATCGTTAGGCATGTTGTGTGTCAGACATACGTTTTAAGTGTGGGAGAGCCATGCTTCGGGACGAATGAGTCAGCTCGACCGGAATGATACCACGGCCTCACAGAAAACCGGCGTGAAACAACCCACAGCGTTGTGATTCGATGTGTGAGTTAGGTAACCGGAGGCCCAATCCTTCCACTCCCCCGATCCTTACCCAATCACTAAATCTCCAAAACCCTAATCCCTAAAAGGTCGGCAACGCACAAGTAACTCCTCCGTTGCGGGTGTCCATGGGCGGCGTTTATTGCTTACCATCATGTAATTTGTCAGCCCGTCATAAAAAAATACTGTATTTATTGAAAATAACGACTCAACTGAATTAATTACCTGAGTGAAGCTCTTTTAGTTTTAAGTCACAACAGGAATTTTTTTCAACGTCGCGCAGCTGACACTCTTTGTTTGTTCCACAAATTGTTGTTCCGGATCTAGGTGTGACGTGTATCTGAAATTGTATGTTTGTAAACGAATTCACAACACAGATGAAAATATTAATTTGGGGAAATAAAAAAAACATATATACTATTATACTATATACACACTTGACTCATATTGCGCTTAGTACATAAAATTATTATTTAAATTGCTTGCGCTCACAGTGTGAAGTTCATGAACTTGATAATAGATGGCATTAGGAACACCATTTTAATATTACGGTACGTTGGTTGAGTTTACACGAATAATGCTCGCCTGGATTTAAATTGTGACTAGCGAATTGTCAGTCAACGTCAACAATCGTTTTGTTATTATACTTATAATATAATATATGTACATCATTATCAGAATTTTCTTATATATTTTATTATAATGTAATTTCATTATTTACAGACTTGGAACAAACATCTCTTAGAAGCGAAATTTATGAAAAAATTATTAAGATAAACAAGTACACCAATGTAATACGAAGATCTATATCAATATAAGTTTAATAAATAATATAATTTATTAGAAGCCCTCTAGGGTATAATATAGCATGACAAGTAATTGCAGTATCGATGATAGTAACAACAAATTGTTTCATTCTTAATTAGATTACTGAGAAACGTCGAAGCCATTTAGCTGCGACCGATGGCAGTATAAGTGTCAAGTTCCACAATGGTAGACGGTAAGAATATTTTCAAACTATTTTTTTTTTCTTTTCATTTAAGTTGAAGGGCTTAGAAGCAGGCTCTTAATAGTTTAAGTAGGTGTATTAACAGCAGAAGCGTAAGATGCCGTGATTTTTGTTTGGGGAACCTTGAATGGGTTTTGTTTTCTCATTAAACTAAAGAAATGGTAACTGGTTATACCTTGAGAGTTGCCAAAATTTAAATGCACGGGTGACGCGAGAAGAAAATTAGAGTTTAAAAAAAAATAAAAAAAACTACGTTTAAAAAAACCGACTTCAAAAACAAAAAGTGTCAAATAAGTAATTAAAATTGATATTTTAATAGCACTCTTACGTACGCGAAGCTAATACTTTTAATATTAATAATAAAATACTATCAATTCTATGTGCTACTTGTTCATAGGTTTGAAGTCAGTGCCAAGCCTAATACATAATATAATAAGCATGATTACATGAGTACCTAAACTCGCCGGGCGCGTTTGAATTTATTTTTTAGGATTTAAGAATTTAGTACCGATTTTCTAGCTTGATGGCGTTAGCATAGAATCAGAAGTCTATATGGTTTCGTTACTGGCGAAACTGTATATAGCTTAGAAAGATATTTGGATGAATTATGAATTCTGAAAGATTTCTCGTACTTGGTTGTTAAAAGTAGTAGTAGGTAGCTGCGTTGTTAGTTGTGGAAATTTCGTCTTTTAGCATTTAAACAGTCTTAATTCTCATTTAGTTTTATTCTGTTTAGGGCTTGGCACCGACTTCAAACCTATGAATAGGTAGCACATAGAATTGATAGTGTTTTATTATTAACATTAAAAGTATTAGCTTCGCGTACGTAAGAGTGCTATTAAAATATCAATTTTAATTACTTATTTGACACTTTTTTGTTTTTGAAGTCGGTTTTTTTAAACGTAGTTTTTTTTATTTTTTTCTTTTTAGTGTCTGTTGCAAGTTCTTCTGTAAACTACAGTAATATTTTAAATATAAATTAATATATTGAATAGTATATATTTTTAAGTAGCTATGTGTAGGCCAACGAAAGGAGCCGCCCGATTAAAAAATATAGATCCCAAGTAATGGGAAAGTTCTCATCATCATCATCATCATCAGCCATTTTAATGTTCCCACTACTGGGACACAGGCTATCTCTCTAGAAGAGGGAAAGTTCTTAACAATATAAATAAATTAAGTCCAAACACGAGGTAGCTACTGTAAACTGTTGAGGAGTTCCCTAGACTGTCGTTCGTCTTCATCATCAGATCCCTAATGACAGTCACAATCCATCAAGGTGTAAAGTTCTCATCAAAACGAATAAATAAAGCTTAAACACAAGGAAGCTGCTATGAATCGTTGAGGAGTTCTCTCGACTGTCTCTCGTTTCCATCCGGAATTCCCTCGACGGTCAATTGTCTCCATCATCAGGTAAACTGCAGACCTTCAGTTGTTATGATACATACCTACAGGTACAAAGTTTTCATCAATATAAATGAATTAAGTTCAAACACGAAGTAGTTACTGTAAACCGTTCAGGAGTTCCCTGAGCTGTCCTTCGTTCTCATCATCAGACCCTTAATGACAGTTACGACCAAGCCTGCTGCAAAGTGCTCGCCAATACGAATCATTCAAGCCCAAACACAAGGCAATTACTCCAAATAGTCAAGGAGATCCTTCGACTGTCTTCCAGCTCCAACATCTGGTCGACTTCGACCTACGTCAAATTGTAGTGTTGTTAAAGGCCTACTTAAACATCATACAAAAACCTACTCGCCCCTACAATTTTCGAAAGTTCCTCTCGGTTTCTCCAGGATTCCATCATCAGATCCTGACCTCCTGACAATGGGACCAAATGGCAAGTATACCCTACCGAATAAAAAAATAATTTTGCAAATCGGTTCAGGCGTCTTCGAGAAATCGGTGTACATACATAAAAAAAAAATACGCGTCGAATTGATAACCTCCTCCTTTTTTGAATTCGGTTAATGAAAAATATCTATCAAGTTTTTATATATATTTTAAAAAGGTACTGATATAATTGATAGGGCAGGAACGATGGTAACTACGTCCTTGGTTAACAGCTGCAGCATTTTAATTTTTTTCTTTTTTGTGTACAGTCCTATTTTGTTTTTATTAGATAAGCCAAATGAGAAGGCTTATCTGCTAGTGGTAAGTGATCAGCGCCACTCGTGGACGTCCTCAACATCAAAGAAGTTCCAAGTATGTTGCTGGCTTAGTAGAGGAAAAACGTTATTTTCTTGATTGTTGTAAAACTTAAAGAAGACTTGGAATATAATAGGATTTAAAAGTAATTCAAAAATAAGTGTTACTGAAGTCCTTATTATTGTCTTTCTGCTTTTACAGTCATAGATCCAGGGGTGGTAAAGACAGGGGCCTATAAGTACGAGGATGGTACTCGCTATGTTGGTGAGTGGAATTCTAAGGGCCAGAAGCATGGTATGGGACATCTGGTACTACCTGACGGTACCAGATATGACGGAGCCCTGATTGGGGGTCTCTATTCCGGACTTGGAGTGATGGCGTTCCCCGATGGAGCTAAGTAAGTTGATTAATTGATTGATAAAATTCGTCCTTAATGTAGGGTGGGTATTTTTTTTTTATTTAATCGGAGTTTTAGTAAGTTTCCTTAGTCAAAGTCAACGTCAAAGTCAAGATCATTTATTCCAACTTTTTTTTTATGTAATTGGTCGGCAAACGAACAGACGGATTACCTGATGGTAAGCAATCAGCGCCGCCCATGGACACCGAGTTACGAGCGCGTTGCCGACCTTTAGGGATTAGGGATTTGGAGATTTAGGGGTTGAGGAGGAATTGGGGGCGGGGAAGGATTGGTCCTCCGGTAACCACACTCACACGGCGAAACACAACACTGTGGTTGTTTCACGCCGGTCTTCTGTGAGGCCGTGGTATCACTCCGAACGAGCTGACCCATTCGTGCCGAAGCATGGCTCTCCCACACTTAAACCATAAATAGGTACTTTTGAAACGTCAAAATAGAGAAGTAGTTCGTCAGTCTGTTCGTCAGTGAAGCTAGGTTGGGCACCTAGCTTCACTTCCAAATTGTAGATTCGAATGGAGAAGAACGAACAAGAAACTCTATTCGTTGGTCTTGAAATGTGGATCCCATATGGATAAATGTCACCCCTTCCTTCTTTCAGACATACGCACCTTTAGTGAGGGTCATATAATCCCATCTTCTCTAACTGTGTTACGTATATTATGTTAATTTAAGTTCTTTGAGGACTCGTGGTCTTGTTATACAAATTACATTTTACGTACCCATGTTACATTATTCAACTAACAGAAGACGGTGTTAGGCAATCGTCGCAATGTCGCACAATAATTTAATAACATTTATTCTACCGTACTGTCAAAATAAGGACGGTTAGACTCACAGATGGTACTTCATGACTGGGTAAACATTGTTATATTACTTTCGCGTCTTTAAGGTAATTAAAATAGGGTATAAAGTAATATGAACATGTTGAAAAGTAAACTTCACCATAATATGTATATTGTACCTACGAGTATATTATTTGGACTACAAGGGTCAACATTTTCTGTTTCGTTATCGTGACTGGTATGATGTAGAGAAATACTATTTCTAGTATACCTATCTTTGAACATTTACATTAACACTATTTAACAATCCAATAAAATAACACCGATAGAAAGCTAAGCGAAAAAATAAATTCTAAAAATTAAATATCTCCGAGTTCTTTAACTATACGGGACAAAACAGCACATTATTAAAAATTAAATAAAAAATTATAACGAAGTGCCATTATCTTTATTTATATTGTCTCCAATAGAGTAACCCTCCGTACAAGAGATAAAATTTTATCTACAGCCTGGATTATCTGGGTACCCACTTAAGGTTGGATCCTAACACTATATTCTGAACATAAGAACGTCTGTTTATTATTGCACTACTCTAAGCACACGCCTTTCAAATGCAATGTGGAAAAATAAAGTAAGATATTTATTTGTATCGGCGGTTCAGGGGTCAAAGGACCGAAGAAGTACACTAGGGTTCGAACTTGCCAGTAAATCGTCTAGTTATAGGCTCGTTATTTGTTTTGTGGATATAAGTACGTCGTGGTGGCCCTGAGGTTAAGGCACCCGCTTCAAAACGGCACGTACCAATGTGACTTCTCCCGAATTATATATGTACTTTCTGTGATTATTTCGACACCACTGACATACAGTGAAGGAAAACATCGTGAGAGAATCTGGACTGATAAGTTTCAAACGCCAATCCGCCTTAATGCTCAAACCTTCTTTGTGCGAGAAAAAGGCCTATGGTACTTATAATAAAGGTGATGATGTGAATAAGTACATATATAGGTCAGCATAAATTCGGTATTCAGGTAAAAAATAAAATTTAATTAAATCGAATCTACATTTTGGGATGAGTACGTAACCTAGCTCACTGACTGTCAGCCTTACCTTTATGTATATATTTGATGTGTCAAAAGTACGTGTATTATTGTATTGTTACAATAAATGTTTTTGACTTTTGACTGTTAGCTTTAAAAAATATCCTTTGTAATCAGGAGCCAAACAATCAGTGTGGAGACAAATTAAATATTCTGCACCTGGAATATAATAAATAAATTCAAAATAAAATATTTTTTTGAATTATAGGTATTAAATTAATTTGTGTATACTACTAAGGTTTTATATTGATATTAATGTCAATCAATCCTCCACCTATACTATAAACAAATTATTTAATAAAAAATCTTCATATAGATATAAAAAATGTAGGAAACCAATCATTTGTATTGACAGTAACAAACCGATATAAAAAAACTATGTAAATAAAAATGAGCTAGCAAATTATGTGTACACATGATTGTCGAGTAATCAAATTGTTGTACAATTTGATACATTTCTTGTCGTATTCGCTGTTATTTGTACGAGGTTCGTATAAAGGCAAAATTTTACAAAATTTTCCAGAAACATCTACCTGGGCGTAGCAAAAAATTATTTCCATCTTTAACATCTTTTAACCCGTGTTGCAAACAATGTAGTCTATTTTTCGCAAAAAAGAGCTGCCACAGGTTTCTCTAAACACTAACCCGACCTTTTTACATAATATATAAAACAAACTTTTTAGACCAAAAAATATGTCGAGCTCAATCTTAGTTGTTTATACAAAGTTTGGGTCGGAAAACTTAAAGTCAGCTGTATTAGTAATACTATTTTTCTTTCACTAACTTGGTAAAGTCAAAATATTACCATATTTTTTGTGTCCGCGTTCATACTTTTTTTAACTTTTTCGATATACGAGCTAAGTTTGCTGTAAATTTACACAGTTTGATGAAATATCATCTTCAAGATACTTAACAAAAATATTTGATTGTAATAAAATATAAATACTGAAATATAATACCAACTGTTGTGTCCCTCTTGTGTTCAACAAAGAGCCATGAAGATTGTTGACGACGTGTTTTGCAGACCGACATACATTGTTCATAATGTTCCTACGTTTATGTTTTTATGGGCGATGACGAGATCTAATGCCGCAATGTACAACAAACGCTCAACGCAGTGCGCGACTCTCTGCATGTGGTTTAAAAAAGCTTTACAGCTACCAACTTACGACAATTAATTAATCTTCCTTGCTTTGGTCTAAATTTCTAAACAAAAATAAGTTAAAAATAATAAAATAAGACAATGCGGTTTGCCTGCGGTTTTCTCAACCGCTAAGGAGTGGAATTCATTGCCGGTGTCTGTGTTGCCCAAGTGACTGCTTATGAGAAGGCGTGCTCCATCGTAGGGGGCATCATCGCTTTACACCAGGCGTGATAGCGGCTAAAAGCCTGCCTATTAAAAATGAATTAATTTAAAACGAGTAGTAGACCTCTCATTACATGTGACCTCATAAAACCAATAGAATTTATTTATTTATTGAAAAAAAGGTAGGCTCACAGCTTATGTATACAAAGTTCTTAAATGTATTAGATAATAGGTAGTAGATCTTATACATTAGCCAATTACGAGCTAACCAACATTCATAAAATTAAGCGTTTACACAAAAAAACAGAAAAAATTAATATTGTAGAATTATAACTAAAACTAATCAAATCAAATTGACAAATTAAGTCTTACACATTAGCCAGTGTCGAGATAACAAACATTCTTAAAAATACGAGTTTACACAAAAATATGATAGATTATAATTAAAACTAGAATTATACAATACAACATCAGACCGTTTTACCGCAACGATACAAATGTAGGTAATGTTCCTGAAATAATTAAGTCGATCCGTCGTGATCCCTGTATACTGTGTATCACATCACTAAGCCGGTTTGACAGCCCACGATATCACCATTAATGGCAACGTAATTGACCACAGAGATGCTAACCTAGTATGGATCATGAATGCCATTTGTATACATACATCATTCATAGAAATATTTAATAGCGCTTTTAAAAGCGATGGAAACCAAAGGGTATTGCAAAGTTTTTCACACCCAGACCCTAAACAACAATTTGCAGATGATACAGAGAGTTGGTCCGTGAATCGAGTTCTCAACACGTTCACAGCAATCAACTGAGAAAAGCTCTACCAGTTTCAAGTCAGAACGGGACGCTTAATTGAGCTGTCAACTGTGCGACGGCGTTAAGAGTCCCGTTGTGACTTAAAAGTAAGCTTTTTTTAGTTAAATCACGTGACTATGTCGATTTTTTCAGTATATTTAGTAAGGTACGCATCACAAGATTCAAAAAAAAAAGTGTCGGTAATCGGTTGTCCAGCCACTGCTTAATAAATGATGAAGTTTCCATGAACACTTTTATAAACAAAATTTACACTAAAACGAAGTAATTGCATTTCGTTCCTCGTTAAAATATTTTGCTCGGCGCTGAAAGACAAGAATTTTTGACTAAGGCTGAAATACTTTACTCAGGTATCCTTATTATTTACGTAGCAACATTGTACAAATAGGAATATTTATAATTCCTTATTACTGTAAGCTTCGTTTAATTAACATTTTGTTTTGTCCGAAATATGCTTAACATTGTTTTCATTCATTTCTTATTCAACTATATCTGCTTGGATATGTATAGGTATATATCTGCAGTAAGTGTGGTAGAGTCATGTTTTGGCACAAACGGGCCAGCTCAACCGGAGTGATACCATGGCCTCACAGAAAACCAGCATGAAAAAAAAATGTGGTGTTTTGCCGTGTGACAGTGTTTCATTATCATCATCAGCCTATAAGTGTCCACTGTTGAGCAAAGGCCTCATCTCACATGGAGAAGGTTTGAGCATTAATCACCACGCTTGCTCAATGCGGGTTGGCGATTTCAAACTTATAATTAGAAATTATAAGTCCAGGTTTCCTCACGATGTTTACCTTCACCTTGTAGTATTTAAATAATCATAGAAAGTACATATAACTCCGAAAAAGTCACATTGGTACTTGCCAGGTTTCAAACCAGACCTTCATACATGAGAAGCGGGTGCCTTAACCTCCGAGCCACCACAATCTGAGTGAGGTTATCGGAGGCCCAATCCTTACACCATCCTCTTTCCTCAATTACCTTAAAAACAGTTTGAAACCTCTGGTTTCTGCACTCTTTGTTTAATGGTTGTGGCACGAATCATAATATATAAAATTCATGATGACTCCTGACGAAGACAAGTGACATTCACGTCAGATCGCTGCGAAGGTACTCTATTTTAAGTTGCTCACGTGTCAACTTAACGAGTTATGCACTATATCGACACATAAATCGCAAAGTAGTTTGAGATTTCGCATTAAACTTTACTGTACGTGTCATTCCGTAAAAGATTTACAAAATGGCACATCATATTATTAAAATACTCCTGATTTATAAACGAAATGGAAAGAGATTATGCATTTTGCGAAAACCTCGCTTCTAGGAACTTAGTTCTGAATTTTTGAAATTTGAATATAATTTTTGCATTTTGAGTTTTGAGTAAAGGATTGTAAATACATATTTTATAAATTGGTGGAATAATAAGAAATTGTTTAAGAGACATAAAAGAACGTAGAATATGGCATATCTTTCTATACATTGGTATTCGTATGCTAATACTACTTAAATTAATTCGTTTCTAGTGAACAGGAAAAGTTGGGAGATTTATTGAATCTTCCAAACCCACCTTTTCATCAAAGAAATGTACGGGTTGAATGACATTCAGATTTATATATACGTATTTGATCAAACCTTTGATAAATAAGACGTGTCGACGTCAAAATGATGCATTGGAAGATGATGAATCGTCAATTCTGTAGGTACAATTGTAAAAGAACATTCTCAATATTTTTAGCATTTTCCTCAATCATTTTAAAATACGAAAAGTGCTGGAATTACTTTTACCGCTTTACGGTTTTATTTTTAACAGGAAAACTAACACAAAGATATCGTCAATGACGTAAGGGGTCTGTCTGTAGTATAATATCTTTTAGATTATTTATAGAATAATAATGGGAGCTTTACTTATTGACAATCGGTAGAACTCCTATAACTGGGTCAAATTCTATTTATTATTTTGTCGTCTGATTACCTACTTAGAATTTCAGAATCGTTAGGTACCCAGGAAACATACCTACAATTTTTTTTTATGTAATTTGTCGGTAAACGAGCAGACGGATTACCTGATGGTAAGCAATCAGCGCCGCCCATGGACACCCGCAACGGAGGAGTTACGAGTGCGTTGCCGACCTTTTAGGGATTAGGATTTGGAGATTTAGGGATTGAGGAGGGATTGGGGGCGGGGAAGGATTGGGCCTCCGGTAACCTCACTCACACGGCGAAACACAACGCTGTGGTTGTTTCACGCTGGTCTTCTTGAGGCCGTGGTATCACCCCGGTCGAGCCGACCCATTCGTGCCGATGCATGGCTCTATACACACTTAAAAAATTTTACACACTCTTAATTTTACAAATGTAAACACCGAAAAGAGTTTCTATAATCCTTAAGTAACGTAGTAACTCAATTAATATGTTACTGAAAATAAATTGATTCATGTAACTAACTATATACAAAAAACTAAACAAACAAAACTCGATTTCTGAAAAATAGGTCAATTCCTTTGAAAGTTTTTTACGCTTAGATCAAAAAGCAAGTCCTGAAGAACATAATGGAAACCAAGTTGAAAAGTCAGGATTTGGTTAGGTTTAACCTTAAAGTTATAAGAAAAAAGTGTAGAACATTTTGTTGGTGAAATAGGTTGAATACTGATATAAGAAAATATTCCATTAAAGGAAAATTTTTTGAAATCCTAATCAGAGTCAATTCATGGGCTAACTTCAGCAGTCTTTTTAGGATTATCTTAGGCTCAAAACGTGCGTATCTATGTCTACGATGTGATAGCAAAACTCTTATCTATTTTCTGCGCTAATACCTCCCAAACATTTTAAGTATGGATAATGACAAAAAAATATATAATATGAATGTCGTTGACGAAAAAGGTGTTTAAAAATTATTCGTAAAAATTTGAAACTAAGTGTTACGTGAAAAAGGGCTTTAAAAGCCTTTTAGTTGTCTTTTTTTTTTCGATAAACCAAAAAGGTCAGGAGCTTTTGTCAAAACGTGATGTCGTTCCAATATTTAAAGCCCTCTGCTTTGAAGTTTTCAGTGATTTTTCGGGAGTGATTTATTTATTTTTGAAATCCAAAATTATATTTGCTTTACATACCACTACTACCAATATTTCCCCGCAAAAGAATTAACAGAATTAAAGCTGACGAGGTTTATTCACTTACATTTTTATTCGGATATGATAGTGGCCCAAATTTACTTCTTTTACTATAAAAATGGTTAATTTAGTATTTAATACTAATATTACTATAATGATCTTAGATCATCACCATCAGACTATAAGTGTCCACTGCTGAGCAAAGGCTTCTTGTCATACGGAAAAGGTTTCTTAGATGTAAATTTCTTAAATAGATTTTCTTGTTAGTCTGAATACCGATTTTTTAGTTTTGTACCTTGAAATTTTCATAAAATCCCTACCGATTTTATAAAGTTCAGCCAAATAGCTCACCCGTTGTTGAATTTAAAATAGTCTAACAAACATAATACCAGTATGATAATATTGAGTATAACTAATATGATAATAAATATTCTAATACTAACTGACAAATCAGATTAATTTAATACAACAACTTCAAACAAAACGAAAACATGTTTCAATGATAACGTTTTGAAAAGAGAAAACCAAAACTTTCGTTGATTGTCAAATTATTATTTTCTAAAATAAGGAAAAATAATTAAGTCATGGAAGATTTACAAGATTTAATTATATTTAGATGAAGATAAAAAACATGTTTTCGGCATAATTATTATTATTATTTTTTTAAATAAAATAAATAAATAAATTATTTTCAGGATCTAAATAATAACGAAAATCTTGATTTTGATATAAAATGCCTTAGTAATTTTAGAATCTTGATTGTATACATATGGATATAGGCACGACAGTGTCTAATTCAAGGATATTCTAAAAGCCATTAATGCTATTTTATGTTATGAAAATATTTAATAAGAAGGTTGCTAAAAATGTATTACTTGGAACACGAATTACAACTAATCTTTTAACAAAGAAAATCAAATCCTTGTAGTTTAATAAAAGATTTTGGTGAATGAAATATTAACAACAAAGAAATAATATAATATAATATACATACCTAAGAATTATTTCTTAACAAAAGCGTGGTGAATGATCAAATCTTATTTTTACGTAAATGTTAAATTTCTGATCCCGAAAATAGTTCCCGTCTGTCTGATTTTAATTAAAGCAATTCTCGAAACGGCCCTTTGTGATTATTTACGTTTGCAACATTATTTGTTTGGTGGAGAAATATCTGGAAGCCTATTTTCGACTGGGATAAGTTGACTTTATCCTTTTATGTTTAAGAACTACAATATTAATAGCTGCTTTACATAAGAGGGTTTCTTCATGTTTGTAAGGCGAGTATAGTCTTATAGATGCCCCAGCGAGCCGTTAGATGAACAGAGATGGGGCTCATTAGTAGCGATGTCCAGCTGGTACACAATTCTACACTCGGAGCAGAAAGAGGGACGGGGTGGTTTTTAGTCAGTAAGAGTTTGACAATCCCTCTCACCTCACCCTAGGGCGGGAGAACTCCATGGATGATATTCTTCTTTCGCAGTTTCTGCAAAAATGAGTAGTCCTCTAGTCGTTTCGTTCTGAAAAATTGTACCTATTCTATTTTAAGCTTGATTATCACACTTTGCAAATTAATTTAACAATTATACCTTTGCAGATACGAAGGTGAATTCATGCAGGGTTGGTTCCATGGTCATGGTGTGTTCTGGAGAGCTGATGGCATGAAGTTTGAAGGGGAGTTTCGAGGAGGAAGAGTTTGGGGTTTGGGTAAGAATTAATTATTTATTTTTCTAGTTAAATAATTCTAGGTACATATGAAATCTTTATCAAAAAAATGCCGTGGTGGCCCAGAGGTTAAGGCACTCGCCTCTTATTCGCATGTGACAATGTGACATTTTCCAAGTTACCTATATTTACTTTCTGTGATTATAGACACCACTGATATACGGTGAAGGAAAACATCGTGAGATTTTATATTAAGCAGTACCTACTTTATTTTTATTGCAATATTCAGTTAGTTTGTATATTCTTAAACAATAGGCCGAATCGTATTATGAGTTAAATAAAAATCTTATTTTTTATTTTTCAGACCGAAAATATATATGTATATATATATACGAAGAGGTTATATTTTCGATTATATTCAACCATGAATATCGTTGAATATATATATATATATTTATATATATCTACAGATATATGTGTATATTCTGTATTTTTCAAACCAAGTTGCAGTTGTCTTAACCAGATTAAGATTAAAGCCAGTATTTTACACAGAATGATAACCATCTGCTTTCCGCAAACCATTAAGAGTAATTCGAAATTCTTGATTAGGCCCGCTTTAAGGAGTTTTTCACTGACTCGTAGCGTCTCTCGAAAAATTTTGCACGAAAACCGGGATCGACGTAATTTCGCAAAATTCCAGAATTCTCGGGACCGCGTTGTGTGTACTTATTAACTGTTCTTTACATTTAGAATGCTCTGCTTTGGAATAATTTTTTTATTCATACATTCAAAGAAACATGATGCTTTGATACGTAATATTCGTAAGCAGACTTACGTAATAAAACGTTCCCCATTCAAATACTTATATAAAACTGGAATTTCTCTTCTTCCGCAAGAAATATGTGTGCGTCGTAAATCTGTGCTGGAGTTTTCTAGAACAAGCATATTGGAAAAGTGCTTACTTAAGGATATTCAAACGAAAATAAAACTTTAGTGTTATGTAGATAGATAATTCTACGACATAAGATATCACAAGACATGTTATTGAAATATTTATATCTAAACTAATTTAACAAAGAGGTAAAGTTTGTAAGTTTGTATGTAGGCGGGTAATCTGTGGAACCACTGGTCGGATTGCCAAAATTCTTTCACTGATTTATAGCTACAATGTTCTTGAGTGTTATAGGCTACAAAACATCACGCTACGATTAAATGGAGTCGAGCAGCGGGTGAAACCGGGCGAAAGTAAAATCAAGACTATTATCATCATCGTTGTTAATTAATGAAAATTGAAATGGGTAACATAGTAATAATACTTAGAATCATTTTATCGGATACTTATATAAAATTGAACTATCTTGAGCAATGGCACAATAGTTTGACCGATTTCACAGTTATGCTCAAAGTGTACGCGGCCACGGTTAGGGCAGAAAGAAAGCAATAAGATCGATGTTCGAATCAAATTCAAGATGTCCTCCTTCCAACGCAAGGAGAACGTAGAGGTTACAGGTAAGGAGATGTTCAGCGCTACTTTTTTATTTTTTTGTGATAAGAAAAAAAAGCAAATGACTTCTCCCGCGCAGGTTCGGGTAGGCGGGAGTGTCAGACTCTAACTGACTAAAAACACCCCTGTTCCTTCTCCTGATCTGGGCCGAGATCGCGGTGCCTCATTGCGCTTACCCCGCAACCCTGGCTGAACTTCTTTTTCCCTGGATGGGGCGAGAGAGAGAGAGTGTCAGACTCTTGCTGACTAAAAACTAACCCGTTTCCTCTTCTGTTCCATGTCGGGGTCACGGTACATTATTACACTTAATCCGCAAATCTACCTAGGGTTCAAACTATAACAAAAAGTTTACGACTTATAATGTCAAAGGGCCCTCAATCCACACCACCATGCCCAATTCCCATATCCTTAACCTTTAAATCACAAACAAATGCCAAAAGATCGGTAACGTCATCTGCCGTTTTCATGTGATCGATCTATTTATTTCCCGCTCTGGACTAAAAAAAAGGTCAGTGTATTCGGTTTGAACTCGGATTCAAAGTACAGAGTGCAAACCGATACAAAACATTGACGATAAAAATGGCCCCGGGTGAGGAAAATACAGCCAATACTCAAATATAAGACCGCAAATCTACGAATTCCAGTATTTACCAACTTTATATTTCAAACCAACGTATTTTATATTGTATTGACTTAGTTCCAGATTTTTTTTATTAGTTTTCTGAACTCTTGACCCCTCGTAAGGCTACTCGACAGAATTTCAACTAATTGATCGACAATAACCGAATTATTATAGAGACTGTGAAATCCATAAGTAAACCAGTCATTGCTTAAACATAAATTGTTTAAAAAATGCCTTCGAACTTTGAGCTTCGAACATCCTGTGACACATCATCACCCTATAAGTGCTAACTCTAAGCGGATTAGTGATTTCAAACTTTTAATTAGAAAATAAAAGTACGGGTTTTCTCACGGTGTTTTCCTTCAACGAGGAGAAAAGAAGAGAAGAGGTGTGTGTGAAAGTACTAATAAGTTTTGACTGCACGGTTGGCGCGGTGGCTAGGTAAGAGACTGACGCGCAACGTGTCGCGGGTTCGATCCCTGCACGGAACAGCTCATGTGTGATCTTACAAATTATTGTTCTGGGTCTAGGTGTGATCTGTATGGGAAATTTTATGTTTGCAAACGCTCCCAAAATACAAGAAAATCCTGATGTGGGGTAACGTTTTATAGGTAAAAAAAACAATAACAAAAAGAAAACTTCGGAAATAGACACATTCGTACATGCCAGGTTTTCAAAACGCACCCTTATGCATGACAAACGGGCGCGTTTACCTCTGGGTCGCCACAACGCTATTACGAGACGATTTTTTTATTTTAAGACAAATATGAATGGTTTTAAAATTTAAAACCTCTAAAATCTCAAACTGAAATTTCACAATTCTCTGTTGAATCAAAGAATTATAATATTTTGGTTCATTATAATTAATCATAATACTATTAGGCTCAATACCATCTTGTTTCTGAAACCTAAAGACAAAGGAGAAATAATTCTCCTTAACTTTAGCAAATTAGTGCTGTCATGCACTTTGACTGTTAGAAAATCTATTCTTAGTCATTCGATTTTGAACCTTCAACCGCAGACCATAAATTTACAATTATATTTAGACTAATCGTGGTTGAATATATCAACTAATAACGAATACAGAGAGATTTATATCTATCATCTATCAGATTAATATATATCAGCTGCCAAAATGTAAGATGAGAAAGGATTTCAAGGACAATGGAATATTTTCTGAACTGAATAGATAATAACGTATCTAAGTGCTTTAATCGCTTGAAAGTTTTCTTCATTTGTAATAAAATTTCGTTAGGTTAAAACTCTCAAGCGCGAGAAGCGGGTCTTCTTGCGCATGAGAGTTCGGATTTGAATCTTGGCAAGTACCCATGTGGTTTTTTGCAAGTCATAATGTTCTTTCTAACTGTATTTAGACACCATTGACAAAAGATGAAGGTAAACGTCGTGAGGAAACCTGGACTTAAATTTCTAAAAAGAAGTTTGAAAACATCAACCCGCCGTAAACAATCGTGGTGGTTCACACTTAAACCTTCTCCATGTGAGAAGAGGCCTTTGCTCAGCCATGGGCATTTAAAGGGCGATTTTGTAATAATGGGAAGACGAGTTAGTAGGTATCACACATATTTATTAAAATATGATAATTCACCAGTTGTGAAACTCATTCAATTCTAAGATTTTAAAAGTTATTTATTAATACTAAAATAACAGAACTTTTTTTTTTAATATTCCCCCCATTAGGATTTTCTCTTTTGTGTCGTGGGTGTGTTAACAAACATACAATTTCACATACACATCACACCCAGACCCGAAACAACAATTTGCGGATCACACAATGTGTTGTTCTGTGCGGGAATCGAACCCGCGACACGCGACACTGTAGCCAGTTGCCCAGCCACCGCGCCAACCGTGCAGTCAAACATTATAATGGAAAGTATATTTTAGAACCAGAGTTTGTGCTTTAATTTTCCATTATCAATAGGTAATAAGTAACACAAAAAATCACATTTATATCAATAGAAAACCCATGTAGTTCTGCCCCTGCAAAGAAATTGTTAGCAATAAGTCGTACATTTACAGTTATAGTTTCAGAAGGCAGCCAGGCAAGCAAATTGAATACCAAGTAATTGAAAATCAATTGATCGACAGCGACAAATATTACACGCCGCTTTATTGAAATTCAGCTATAGGATTAGGGTTGAGTATATGGATCAAAGAAACTACATATTATGGAAAAAAGGTTTTTAAAAACAAATATTAATATAAATATTGGTTACTAGCTTCTCTCGCGCGGTTTCATCCGCTGCTCGGCTCCATTTAATCGTAGCGTGATGTTTTGTAGCTTATAGCACTCAGGAACATTGTAGCTATCTATCAGTAATATAATTTGGAAACAGCTATGCATGCAAAACTCATGGTTGTTTATAACAAAAACTAGTAGCACTATATCCATAGTTTGTGATAGTAAGCGAGAAGAAATAACCATTCAAGACGTAGGAGTAATAAAAATCGCTGACAATTGTATCATAAAATCCGTTAACAACAGACTCGCTGCTAAGAGAACGTTATCAATTCAGGTAGCAGAGTCCTTTTCAAAACAACTAAATTTTAGTATATACATATATATATCAAATCGAAGTAAAAAACTAAATATATCTAAGGAGGCTGTAATAGAAAGTTCCAATGACTTTTATCAGCACTTAATAAATGAAGAGTCTGGATTGGAAATAGAACTTAACGATAACATATGGAAGGACATTCAATCTCACACATACTTAGTGAGCTGCGTATCATCAATAATATTGATGACAATTATAATTATAGTTGTTTGTTATGGTCCCAGGATAGTTACGTGTACGAAAACAGGAACACATCGACTTCGACAACACCCTAAATCATCAAAAGCTGATCCGCCACACCCACAACGTGCACCAGATCAAGGCAACAACCAGCCATCTACATGGAACGCCATCTACAGCCAGCCGAACCAACTACTGAAGCCTCCCAGGAAGCAGCCGGAGAACCAGGACGCAGCCAAGGATGACTCCATAGAACTATATCAAATGGAGTTGCCTGTTCCTCGGAGAGGGCAGAATGTTCACACATGAACGTGCCATTTCAGCGAGATAATCCTACGTGATTAA